CTCGCGATGTCAAGATCACTGTACCTTTATGAAACTCCAACGGACGATTCCTTTGGAACACGCTGGAAGATGACGCAAGCAGTAAGGACAGTGGAAAATACTTCGCATTCGTTCCAGTTCTCAGAACATCCTGATCTTGTTCCATCCCGCAGGAAGGGATCAGGGAATGTCTTCCAGCACGAAGTTGCCGATGAGTCAGGAGGCGATTAAGAAGAGTGATTGAGATCTGAACGTTCTTTCTCGTCGTTTATCAGTCCTAAAAGGAACAACAATGGCATCAAAATGTATGTAACGACATGAATGCTTTGACTATATTTGGGCAGATGTTTGTCGCTGGCACCAGATTCACGTGTCATTCGCGTCGTGTCAGAACATCTGACTTGCTCAGTGTGTTTTTCCATCCTTTCGGATCGGATCGGCATTGGTCAGTCTGCATCTGTCCCATTGCATAAAATAATAAGCATTACGATAAAATAAGAGGCAGCCAGAATCGTGCAACAGTTAAAGCGCACACATTCTGCTAATTATGACAATCATGCGAATGCCACAAGTGATGTTAGGCATTTGCGCAGGGTCTCCTGTGATGTCCATAAGAATCATGTAGTGTATCGCAAGAGACACCTCCGGCCAAGTCCAGCTTCATATTGGATCGGAAGCTGGAAGATTTTTGCGCGATGGATACGTAACTTGAAGAATCTCTACTTTTTGGATGTTCCCGTCGTGCTTGTATTTGGGGAGGATCCGGGGATTCCTTCCCCTCCGGTTTCAAGGAGATTTATCCATCAGACTCGTCTATGCCCTCACCTCCCTCCTCTCCTTTCCCAGCTACGCCCTATGGTCCTGCGTTTTCTAACTCCATTCACCTTTCAACAATGCGAGTGAGGAGTTGGGAGGTGACCTGGTGCTGGCCGGAGTTTCTGGGCTGGTGGCAGGCGACGTCATCCTCGTCCTCTTTTCCCCTACGATCCTCAAGAATCTTTTTTCAAGGAACTTATCAAGGGTTCTCGGTCTCAGATCCAGATGGCATGTCTGCATGGAGTCAAGAAAGCCGTCCATCTATTTACAGGGTGGGCCAAAAAACCGCACAGTTTTCAATGGTACACGAAACTGCACTCACAGCATATATTTTAATGCGGTTTGCAGCATTTGAAAGAAAAATTAATAAGCTTTACGATTGTGGAGAGTCTTATCAAATATCTTCAGCAGTTTCAGAAATTATGGAGCTCATAAAACTCCAAGCAGAAATTACGTTTCCGCTGAACAGTATAGGGATGGACAGGCGGCGGCCTTCGTGACTGAAGGTCACATGCCATTTCCCTCTGAGAACGCGGCAACGCAGTTTTTGTTTGCTGTTCATATGAGCTCTTGAATTCTAAATTCTAAAATTGAAAGGTAAACCTTTCATTTTAAAGCTGATTCATTCCTCTTTCAAATGCCACAAACCGCATTAAAATATTGTGTGATGCGTGAAGTATAGTGTATCGTTGAAAACTGTTCTCTTTTTTTGCTCACTCTGTATATCCGCATTTGTCCTTTTCTCCATCTCTTGGATTTCCTTCACCATCTGCCTCATCGCAATTTGACGTTCAAAAGGAATGTCCCCTTCATTCAATGGTATTGCATTGACCGAGTCCTCTTGAAATTTTCAAGGTGATGCTCTTCAAAATCTCCGGGTTTAAATGCGAGGATGACCGAATCGGGAAAGTATGTCCTTGCTTTCCATCTTTTTCAAATGTGAAAATAGGTATTCGCCGAATCTCAACATTTTTGGCATTTTCCGTTTGGACCAGATAAGGCGGACACATGGGTATCCGTGCAAAATGAGCCACGCAGTGTCCAAGTTGTACGGGGTTTTACTGCTGCTGAAATGTTTCTTCACGTTCTTCGCTCTGATCATTACGATTTGTAATAATCCCGGCATGCATCTCCAAGCAAGAAGGGTTGGGATTTATTCTCTCCGTCCCTTGTCTGGTCCTTCTGGCGCTGAAACTGTTCATTTCCACCTTCGTCTGCACTTACGCCAAGGAGAAGGCAAGTGTTACGTTCGATTACATCATTCGCATGCTATTGGTATTGTGGTGTTTAATGTGACGATTGTTGGTTACCTCTATTGATTTCTACTCTTGGATCATTCGCTTATCGGCAAATCAGGATTGCCTATGGAATTCGTGGCCGTCAGGGTTATTTAACGAATGGTTTGCCTCCTCCTGCATTTCGAGATTTTCCCTCAGATTTCAGGAAAACCGAGTCGCTCTCTTGTGCGAGCTTAATATTTGGATCGTATCGAAAAGTGCGATATTTTCCGGCAAGAGCCTTCCTGGTAGTCAAAATCAGTCAGTAGAGCACATCAGATTAGTCCGAACAGGCTTCAAACTGAGTTCAGAGCAATAAATTCATAATTGTCGTCTGTTTTTTTTTTCTCTCCATGAAATTAACTTCCGAATTATCATGAAGCGGCAAACAGGGAAAAATAAATGCAAATGCTCTCGAAACTCTCGATATCATAGGGAATGGAAACGGGAGGAATCGTGACAGCCGCCAAGACCATTTCCAATGACCCAGAGGAAATTGAAGAAGTAATTAGATCTCAAATTACCATTGTCTCTAGAAATTCTTCAACTCCAGATGCAGCATCTCCGCTTGGAAGCCGGCGATCTCCATCTGGAGGATCTTCGAGATGCAAGCTGCTATCCTGCTTGTGGAGAACTGACGTGAAAATTTCAGATGTTCAGACCAGAATCTTTCGAAAGCAAAACGAACTTTTGTCGATCCGAGAATCCGATTTTTTGTTTGTTCGAGATGAAAAAGAGAAAGAGTTGAGGGAAGGCTTTTGTCCAAATGTCACAGACCGAACAAAGCAGCAAAATCTCACCATGAGAATAGAGTAAGTTGCTTCTCCCTTGCCACAAAGACATCTGAACCGCCTCAAGATCGCTCCCTCCTATTGCAAGTGCCCTAAAGCAGCACCAGAGCAAGTAGGGTATGGAATCGGATTCTTTGTGACAATCGTCGCGGAGCAGCAAAGCAGGAATGGGTTGCAACCACGGATGCGCGCGCAGTGATGCCAGGAAGTGCAATGCATCAATATTTGCATCCTGTTCTCGGCCGGGTGAAAGATTGTCTCCAGCGGGATGGAAATTCGAGGCTTACGTTCCGATAAGAAACAATTCCAGGGAAAAAATTACGATGCTTCCTCATCTTGAATTTTTTATTTATTTTTATGTTCCAGGGCTTTTTTATGTCTTTATGATGATTGGAATTCTGTTGCATGCAAATTTGCTCCTTTCGGGATCACCGATTTTTTCGCAGCATTAAAATCGCTTTCGGAGATGAGGAAAATCATCCACATCTGTCCCATCTGTTGTGGTGATCTCCGAAATCATATACGGCAAGAGACTTAAAAAAAAGAAAGCGCTAATTAACTCCCAGTGCGAAGAGAGGACCGGGCGTCTGCAACGGTTCAAATCAATCTAAGGCCAGTTTCTTTCCTCGTGGAAGCGTGAGCTCAGGATCGGCAAACGATTTTGGCAGGGTGCTTCTTGATGGATGGTGCTAATGGCAACACTGGACCGCTTGGCAACACTGTACTCATGATGGATCCCTCTTTTCCTTTACACCACGTGAGTAGCGGGGATTCCGGGTGGAGTACTGCAGTGCTTTGAGAAATTTCGTGGGACCAGTCAGTATTGAAGCTTGTCGCAAAATCTGATTCCACCTTTGGTTCCAGGTCTCATTCGATCGATTTGACTAAGTTGGGGGTTGCAATTTCCTTCACCTGAAGTAGCACTGTCACCGGTTTAGGCTTCAGGGCAAGTTCTCAGATCTTCCCATTGTGCCTTTTAATTTACCGAATTTTATACGGCTGATGAAGGTCTGAAAACATATAATCCTGTGTTTATAGCAAAGAGGTCGAAGCATTCCGTAATGCTTTTTTTTCCTGGAGGACAATTGCTAAAAGGATGGTAGGAGAAAGAGGGCTGGCTGCATATTATTCTGATCCACAACAATGCATATCATGAACTGCTTTTTTCCTTTAAAAAATACTGTCTCAGAGTGGAGTAACTTATCAAGGACTCCCTTTTTCTGGAAAATTATTCAAGCAAAGACCAGGACTCTTATAAATTGACTTTCTGAGGTAACCTTACAGGCTGAAAAATAGGGACTCAACAAGTTAGATTTCTTCTCTGTTGCTTTAAAGTTAGGCCTATGATGACTGAAGGTGTGAGGGGCAGGTTGCTGAGCAAAAAAAAGATCAACATGGAATACCAGCTGAGAAACTGTCTTCAATGCTTAATTATCAGGTTGAAAACCAGGAGACAGAGACGTTTCTGCCACAATTTGGGACAAACACCTGGATGCATTCAAAATCAGGACAGGCTCAAAAACTAGTACTGTCCTTGTAAAACTTGGGCATTGGTCTATTCTTTTCCATTCTCCTAGTTATATATTGATTATTATCATTTTGACTTCAGCGGTATTCCAGAATACTGGTAGTATGATAAGCTAAAAACAAACATGGCTCTGATCCTCAGTTGGTAATAAGGCACCCAATATTTACCATGTTCATCCAGTTACTTTGTACAAGTTTGGGAATATTTTTTGGCTTGGAGACTGGTGCTTTTATTGTCAGTCGTGATCACTGTTTGTAGTTAATGGGGTATTTATCAATTTCCATTTGATAAGATTTGCTTTTATTCAGAAATGGCTTCCTTTTTACTTTCAGGAAGTTTTAATTCCTATCCCTACTCTTTGTCTTTTTGGACTTGGATATTTGTACTTGACTTTTTTTTGTTGGTTAGCTCTACGTTATCCACCCTGTTGTTCAGTAACAGGCAAGTTTTAACTTCTTGAGCATTTTGTTAAGACTTTACTTATTTCTATACTGTATGAAATAAACTTATATAAGTTTAAGTTAGACATACTCTTCATGATCGAATAACCAATAGGTTACAATAACCAGACTAGGTCTCTATGTTAGGAGGTTTATTCTATATTTAGGGTTTCCAGATTTTTTATTCAGTTCTTGTTCCTGCAACCACTGGCTCAGCGTCAAAATGGAGAGGCTCATTATAATGGGTTAATGGATCCCATATGCAGTGAATTTTTCAAAGTGCAATAGGCTAGAAATGGTGATACAGAGAATACATCCTGATGCCGCCCCTCCGGATGCCATCCGTTTGACAGAGTCTGAGGCTTTTCTTGTCCAACGCCAGTTTCTCTGGGACTATAGCCCCAAGAGTGATGTGTGAGTTCCCATTTTTACAAACAGCTAATAAAGAGAATACCACCTAATCCAAAAATAGAGGAAGCATTAGATATTCCCACAAGGTTGAGGGAGAGATTTTAATGTAGCATTCCTCAATGGAGTTGCACAAAATGGTAGGAGCCCTTCAAGAGTTCACTTGTCAACTTCATTGTACTGTGCATTGTTCCCAATTGATTCCATTCATGAAATTTAATTTTTCTGATACTTCATGCTATTGTACAGTTGTTGATGTGTATAATAAATAATGTACATAACCCTATATTTAACTATTATATTTTACTGTAATTATATTCCAAAGGTGGGCAATCCGTATTGGTCCAGCCCTTACTGGTGGAACAGCTGCTGCGACTGGCCTGATCATCAACAACCTATACCGCCGGTTCTTGCGCCTGGGACATCAAGGCCGGTTCGCTTCTTATGCTCCGGTGACTGTTGCATCAGGTCTTGCTGCAGCTGGGCTTCATTACTTTGTAAGGTGTACTGCACGATTCCCATGGTTATATATTATTTGCCTTTATTGTAATTGGCCCTATCCTTGGTAAGAATGTTTAGCCAGGAGGGACTACTTAGCCTAGTGAAATGTATTAAAGTAGTCTGGATAAAGAGTCATTGCCAGAACATGAGAATTTCATTTCTTGCATTAACTGTTTTCACTATGCACATTTTCATCCAGATTAGGTTATATCCTAATTTGATATTTGGCTAATATGTGAACAATTATTTGTGCCTGGCTTGATAAATCAATTGATCAACTTATACCAAAATAGTCATTAAAATTCTTTAGCATTTTCTTGCCATGTGGAAGTATGAATAAAATTGTTATGGCATATACTTCAAACTTCAAGGGATCTTCAAGGAAATTCAGGGGATGCTACCTTTGCCCCCATATTTTTACCTCATAGATCTGTATAAATTCCAGAAATTCCATATAAAAAAAATGCACTCTTTCAGTTTTGGACTTACATGAGTCCTTTTTTTTTTTTTACTGTCATACTGGTGCATAAGCAACACTTTTCCATGCGGTTCCAAACCAATAGTACTCTTTGCCACAGAAGTGTTTCATTTAGACCTACTAGTAGGCTTACTTTTAAACTTCATGTTACAAGGCACATTCAATACATATTGACTCTGGAATGGGAAGCAGAAGCTGAATATTTCATTTCAAGGTGTACAACAGTTAACCCACTGATGATAAGAAAATTACTAGCATTGGATAGTGATGTCCCATCTGATGACATGCGACTGCTCATGAGCCTCTGCCCTTGACAAATTGGCAATTCAGTTTAGGTGTCTGAACGGTGGGAATAAGTGCTGTTGCTTCTTCATTTCTCCTCTAATAGAGATTATTTATAGACATTTTGACAGAGAAAGAGTTCAGTGGGGAAATGTGTTCATTTCATTTCATTTTCAAGTGTATGAGAAGTAATGTGTTCATCTAATGATGCTATCAGTTTATGCATTCATGTCATTCTCTGATGAATTCTCATTGCAGTTGGTGATGAAGGATATTGTCCTTGAGAAGCCATATTGTGTAGTGTGTTTGGAGACAAGGTCTACATCATTGCAGGTGGCTGCTGGGTTCCTGTATCCACTCATCTTATGCCCCTTCTCAGCTCTCAGGGTCAGGTCTCAAAGCTAGCAATTTCCATTCAATACACAATGCTTATAATTCTGCCTGTGAAAAGGAGGATGTTACAGAGAGAAAGAGGACAGAAATAGACAGAAATAAGCCTTAATGGGAACCTGATCCAGAACTGTCATTCTGCACTATACTTTCCATCTCCAACTTCTTTTTATTGTCATGTCTTTAGCCATTTTTAAATTTATGAATGTCCTGTCTTCTTTAATCTGACACCCACAAGCTGAGCAAAGCTATTGATGTATGCCATGTAGGCCTAAATTGTAAAACCAAAAATAAGAAATATTCTTGAGAGACCAAAACATTGTCAGTTCCCATGTTATTCAGCCAGTGATATACATATTGATCTGGTCACCTGATATTCTTCCAGCCCAAAGGTTTGTGATGCTGGAATAATAAAAGAAACATATCTTGCACTTCAGATTTACATCACATTTTATAGGAACTCATCTTTCAGTTTCTCTCTCTGTGAGTTCTCACTGATATGGCTCACATATTAAAAAAAAAGTACGGTAATGCACTGTACGAAATTGAATTATGAAAAGCCTGTGAAATTACCATTGAATATTGTTTATTCCTTGTTGTCAAATTATTCATAGACCTTACACCTCCATTCATATCTTAGTTTGGTCAGTGGAAACCTTACTTTACTTGGAAAGTGACTTTGCTTGTTTTGTAGTTGGCTCATGGGTATCAAACGTACCCAGTTCCACGCATGTGGGACGATTGGGGGGAAGTTACGCGACTGTGGAAGAAATTCTCTAGGCCCTCCATCCCCTTGTTCACCTTCCTCTTCTTTGCCAATGCTATTGTTGGCTTGAGTCTCCCCTATTTCCAGGTCAGGCTGATTTCCATTCCTTATCATATCAAACATGACAGTGCATTTAAACTTGGAACAGTGCAGATATTTGTAAAAGTTTTTTTTTCTGTTGTCTTTAAAGACTGAGAGGCTTCAAAATTATTATATTGAATAATTATAATTATTTATGCATTAATTGCTATGTATGGAATAATTGCTTTGATACGTATCCAAGTTGGATTTTATTGTTAGCCTCTTTATTGGACTCTACAATGTCCTCATCCTTTGTGTTTTTGTTTCATCTACATATTGGATGTGATGGGTAATCATGTGCATAATTTATGGAGTTTGAGATGTTTGTATTTCTTGCATATAAACTTTGTATAGAGTTTGAAGTTAGCTGGAGTGGTGGACTTGGTCCTTCTGCACAAGGACCAAGAGCATTATTGAGCATGATGGTTCCAAGAAAGACAATTTAAGTAGACAGAATCCTGGGGCATGTTGTTAGCACTTCTAGTCAGGGTCAGCAGTTGCAATTTATGAATTCATCCCTTAACTTCATTCAAGTATCTGAATTACAAGGGAAACTGTGAAGAGCAGAGGATAATGTGGTTGTAAAATAGAGGGTGAAAGAACACAGAGAAGAGGAAGGAGTAAGCTAATGGGGAACTCCACCATTTGTCCCTAATCTTTGAAATTCTATCTGATATCTATGAACTGATGTTGGAGTCACAAATACAGCTTGAATATGAGATCTTGCTGTTGGGTTTGGAATCTGGATTGGCAGAAGTAAGAGAGGAGTCGCTACTCCAGCACCATGATTCAAAGCACTACCAGTTTTATTATCCATGCACTGTCACTTCACCCTGGAAAATATGATTGTGAGATATGTGCTATATCTAGAAGTATGAAGTATATGCAAAATAAATATGGTATATGTACTTGATCCTCATAGCGTATGTGCTCTTGGAAAATTTGCTGACCTAACCTTTCCAGTGCTGATATTATCTGTCTTTTCTTAGGCCAAAAACATGGAGAAGGTGGCAGAGACAACCCAGAAGGTGGTGGAACGATTTGACCAAAGGTTAGCTGATGCCACTCTTGCACCTTCCAAAGAGCCCCGCCTCTTACGGGAGTCTAAACGTTATGTTCCCTCGAGTTGACACGAGTCTCCAGTTTCTATCACCTAATCGCAGTTTTGCCATATTGTTAGTCTGTGTAGTTCAGTGTACATGGAGGAAGTGATGTTGTGAGTCTGTTGAGTATATGTGAAGGAAATGAAGACAACTGTGCTTTTTCCTGCCATTGTGGTACTTTGCCTGATGAAGCCTTTATGAATTACTTCCCCACCAATGTACATTTTCCAACAAGGTGAAGTCCCATATCTTAAGTGTGGTGGAAAGCAAAAGGATGTGTTGACACAGAAATGGCTATTAACTACTTTCCTTCTTCATTTTTTTTATCACTCTATCCAACCTCTCTTCTAAGAAATGATGAGCCTCCCATTTTTCTGAATCCTTCACTGTTAGCAGTGAGTCCTTAGCTTTATTGAGAAGAATGTTTCAGCATATCCTCACCCCCCACCCATAAAATGGGAAGGTGTTCTGGATCTCAGTTTGAATCTCTCTTGCTGCATGACCTATGATACTTCTTCCTGAAGGCTTGTCATGGTCAAATATTCGTTTTTCGAGAAGGCAAGGGGCTCATGAGTGTTCACTGACATCTCGTGGTTGAGCATTTCCCTTCCTAATATCCACTTGTACATTTTGGCCAGAATTTCAAAGGTGTTTCTCATAAGGCAACTGAGGCCTTGAGCTTTTGGCATGTGCACCTCTCTTCCTCCTCACTCAAATCCATAATTAACCCATTCACTACATGAGACAAATGATGCAGACCCCCTAAAGCAGAAATTCAAAAAAATTTTAAAGTTTAATTGTTGGTTAAATTTGTTAAAGTTAAATTGCAAGCAGCAACTTGATGTGAAGAAAACAAGAAAATCAGAAGCTCCAGATGGGTGTGGAGAAGGAAGAGAAGGAGTGGCACGAACCTTCATGTTATGAGCCAAGGGGGAAATGGAGTTGGAAATCCAAGAGGAAATGAAACTCTCCTGTACTGAGTAAACTGAATAGGAAAGGAAAGTTGATCGTGAAAGTGCCTTTTTCTCCTATTCAAGCCCTGAATGAGGGAGCTTTCCATCCGCAATTCACAATGAAGATCATGGTGAGGTTCAGAATACGGCAGGAAGCTCCACTTTTGTGCAAACGTTTCGGAATAGAAACCCCTTAAGCCATTAGCGATGCCTCGAAGGTGAAGAGACAGCAGGTGCAAGATCATTTCCAAGATGCAGAGGGAGACGTGCGCATACGACTGCGTGCACACCTGCTTGCCTCCTCACCATAAGACAGCGTACATCCAGAGTCATCGAATAGGTTCTCGATGCCAGTCGGCCACGATCCCAGCCATCCGCCTCCAGCGAAGATGAGGACGGGTGGAGGGAGCTTGGCGCTTGTGACGTCATCCAGCCGACCGACTTCCATGGCACAGCTTCACGAAACGCCTGTTTTGCTAAGCTGTGATGTCCCATGCAAGATCGACTTTTTGATAACATGAAATGCACGGAGCTTCTCCACCCTGAAGGGATCGCGGGCTCAGTCGACTACGAACCGAACACCAAGGACCACCAAACGAATGCGAGTGGAACTCCAATAGAACATTTTACCCAGAACGCCATCCTGAGAGCTGAAGGATGTTACTCCACGGTTTTTCATTATCTTTATTATTTTTCACCTGAGAAAATAAATACACTTTCTTCTCAATAGTCCATCCCAAAATGCCTAATATCACAGTCCATCCCCAACAGCCACACCGAGCAACAAACCTGACATCTAGCGGATCGCCCGGAAACGTTGTCCCCTCTTCTTCACCAAAGGAAGAGGGAACCGACCTAGCAGCGCAGCGCCTCCACGGCCCTCCCTGACATCCCCCGACACGATGCAAACCCGGCGGACGCGTGGCCTCGTCTCCGCGGTGTGCGCCTTTCATTTTCGGAATCGTCTGTTAGGTGAAAGCAAGAACTTCATTTTTCGAATAGTGAGTGAATTCGCCGCTTGAATTAACCCGAGCCGAGAGGGAAATTTTCTACATCTGTCAGTTCTCAAAAGTGACTTCAGCTATGAAAGAAAAAAAAGTGTTTTTTTTTTTGTGAGAGGAAGTTTTTCCTCTTGCATAATTTCTGAATGCCCCCTCCCCGCCCCCCTGTGGAATCCATCTAAGGCCGTGTCCAAGATAAATGGCATCCGAAGCCATCGATAAGGAGTTCCTTTTTGCAAGTCCTCGATTAGCGAGGGTTCCCGGACGAAACAACTTCCGCTAATGATTTCTTCATCGCCGCATAATTTCCTCCGCGCGAACGAAAACGATCCTGGACCTTTCATCCTTAATGGCGATCGTTGCTGAACTTCATGTCTGATAAACGATATCTCAACAACAAAAAAATTTTTCCCTGAGTCTCTTGATGCTATCGCTCCTATTTTTCAAAGCAATTTGCAAAAAAAAAAACTGCGCCGATAGGCGACGAATTTTCTGCAAAGGAAATCCAAACCTCCCAAGTTGCCATTCTTTCGCAACCCCCATCTCAAATATTGGCGAAAGTATTTTAATGGCGCAACCGCAGATTCGCACATTCAAGGAAAAAGTCATGGAAGCATCCTTGCTGAAATTCTGGAATCGTCTTGACCGAAAGAAGCGAATCTCCAGGATTCCAAGCCGACCCAATTTCGATTCGAATCCCAAAATTATTGTAATTAAATCTTATTTAATAAAATGACTCACTCTGTACCCCCGAACACCAAAAAGCATCGCAACCTCTCACCGCTTTCCTCGCCGCCCGAGGAAGGCGGTGAGAAGTCGCACCTTCCGAACCGTCATCCGGCACCCCGATGGCGAATCCGGTTCGCAGAACGAAGGAGCAACGAGGATGAACCGCTTGCAAATTCTCTTCCGACCGACGCATCTATTGCTCAAGCGAATTCATTTGTCCCCGTTCGTTGTCTTCTCGATCGATGCACCGTCTTGAAGACGGTGGACATCGTGGAGAATTCGCGCAGGAGAAGTCCAAATTCTTCGGCAGCGGCATCGAGCCGCACACAGCGCGAACTTGTTTCCGTCACCTCCTGACATTTGGGTGGGTACTTTTAAGTTCGTATTCAGGACTGAGCGCCGTGCGAGTACCGTGCAAAACGGGGTCCATCGCACCGCCATGCAAGATTCAAGAGGAATCCTGCAATTATGAGCCTTGGCAGAAGAGCGAAAATAATGCATGTGCGCCGAAACACTCATGATGCATATTGCAAGGCACACTTCGACGAGAGACCAGTTTCCTCCTGGAACGCCGAGATGCAGGAAGGCAGGAAGTTCTCCGTGCTGGGAGAGAAGCAGCAGTCGGATTCATTCCTCTTGGAATTGTGCGAGCCCTGCTTGCACGTGGGGAGGGCTCTGGGATTCCTTCCCATCCGCTTCCATGGAGACTTTTCCGTCAGACCAGTCTACGTCCTCACCTCCATCCTCTCCTTCTCTGTCTATGGCCTCCTGGCTTACGTTTACTATCGTCATTCACCTTACAAAACCGTGAGCGTGGATATGAATGACAAAGTGGTGACCGGAGTGGCTGGATTCGCCACCGTCGTCTCCATCCTCGGCCTCTTCACCCCGGCCTTGCTTCTCTTCAAAATCCGGATCTTTAGGAATCTGATCAAGGACTCCCGGTCTCAGATCCAGCTGGGATGCCTCGTAGGGGCGAAGAGGGACGTCCGTCGTTTCATGCTCGTTTTCCTCCTCCTGATGGCCGCTTACGTCTTTGTCAGCATCGGCTCGACCATCTACGAGTACTCCAGGGGGAAATTGGGTTCGACCGAGTGGACTGAGGTCTTGGTACTGATCATCTGTAAAGTCACCTACACGGTCGTATTAATCTTGGAGGAAGGGGTCTTTTGCACCATCGTCTTCTGCATCGGGCGGGTCTTTTCCGGCCTCAACAAAGCATCCATGACGATGCTCTCGAAGGGCTGCACGAACATCTCCGCTTGGGACTACATCGGAAAGGCGAGTTTCCCCTCACCATCGCCCATCGCATTCCAGTCTTCGCCGAATTTCGACAGTCTCTCTCCGTTCAGATAAGGCGGACTCACGGATGCCTGTGCAATATGAGTCACTCGATGTCCAAGTTGTACGGGTGCGTCCTCCTGGTGCAATGCCTCTTCACGCTGGGCACGATGGTCGTCACAATTTACATCGTCCAGGCTTCGTTGGGCAATATGGAAAACCAGGAAGCGCTGCTCCTCTTCGTCCCTTGCCTCATCCTTCAGGCGTTGAAGCTGGTCATGTCCGCCTTCGTTTGCACGTTCACCAAAGAGAAGGTGAAGACCGTGTTCCATTTTTTTACAGGGGTTTTCCCCTTCGATGAAAAGAATTTGCAGAATTTGCATTGTACCCCATGGGTACAATGCAACGCAAAAGTTGGCAATTTTTTATTTGGCATGCGGTTCGCGAATGCAGACGAACTACAACATCAAGGTGATTGATGTCGTTAGTGAATTCTAAGTATGAATGGGGGAAATTCCTCGAGAAATCACGAAATCAATGCATGACGCAGTCCATTTCTACCATTCCGCGGATTTTTCTACTCACTAATGGAAAATTAAGTTATCATGACTGGCTCAGTACCTGCAGAAAAAGACAAGGGAAATGCACATTCCATGACAAACAATGCAGAATACGCGTCGCCCGCGATGAAGGGAACAGGTCCATGCCTCGCTTTAAAACAAATTTTATTTTATTGTATTCATGGCGAATTTTTGAGTTGAATACAGAAGAAGTCCTTGTGAAGTACCCAACGCGGTATGCTTTTCGGATCTCTCCAAATTTAAATTCCAATCTAAACTCTTGGGGTCACAGTCTCAGGCCGTATTTCTTTGGATGAAACTTCATTGCATGTCTATTTGATAAGTTTTTAAGTATTTATTATTATTATTAATTTAAGTTTTATATTTTTTAAGTTTTTAAGTTAGTAAAACTCACAGGGGATGGAAACCGGGGGAATCGTGACGGCAGCAGAAACCGCCAGCAACAGCCCGGAAGCCATCACCGAGGTGAATCTCTAGCGATTGTCTCCCGAAATTCCCCATTGGCTAAGCTGAAGCCTCGTTTTTTTTTGCCTTTTTCGTGAAGATGCACCGATTCCAGATGCAATTGCTGCACTTGAAACCGGTGATCTCCGTCTGCGGGATCTTCGAGATGCAGGCCTCGATACTGCCTCCGGTCAGTCTCGCATCGCGGAATACCGAGCCACCCCGCTC